TATTGACAACTGTTATTGGTGCGATTATTCATAACATTGATTTATCCAAAGTATTAGATAAACCTAATATTATTCAACAAATCGAACATGCATTAATTAAACATCAGGTTATATTTTTTCGCAATCAACATTTAACTCCAAAACAACATCGTGATTTTGCTCGTTTATTTGGTGATTTACATTCACATCCATTTTATTCTCATGTTCAGGATATGCCTGAATTAATGGTTCTAGAATATGATTCTGACAGAAAACCAAATAATGATCATTGGCACACAGATATAACATTTACCGAAAAACCAGCACTTGGTTGTATTTTGTATGCACGTGAAATTCCATCTGTTGGTGGTGATACACTATGGTCAAGCATGTATTCGGCCTATGATGCTCTATCATTACCAATGAAAAATTTTTTAAGTACATTATCAGCTGAACATTCTTATGCAAAAAATTTTAATTTAACAAATGTTCATCTGCCTGATGCTAAAGAAAAATTAGATAAAGCAACACAGGAGCTACCACCTGTTATACATCCTGTAATTCGAACACATCCAATAACAAAACGTAAATTATTGTTTGTTAATATTACTTTTACAACACGGATTATTGGTTTGAGTGAAGTTGAAAGTGATATGTTATTAAATTATTTATTCAGTTTGGTAAATAAACCAGAATATACAATTCGATGGCACTGGAAAGAAAATGATATTGCATTCTGGGATAATAGATCAACTCAACATTATGCTATTGGAGACTATTGGCCTAATCGTCGACGAATGGAAAGAGCAACAATTATTGGTGATAGACCTATTTAATTATTAAATAATAATTAAAATTTTGATTATCACTAGTATACAAGATTTAAATCACTCACTAATAAAATTTACAATTTGTTTTCAATATTTGTACATTATTTAGTTATGTGATATCGGACATATTGCATAATTTTGGTAGCCATTGCATATATCCAAGAAATATAGGCTAGTCTGTTTATTATAGATTTATTTTGCAGTTGTTTGATAATCACCTTCTCCGTTTCTATTTGCTTAGATTTTATTGTTACAGTAAATAACAACAAATACATTGGTAACTAGAGTGTGGGTGTGAATGTGGAAGATTTTCTAGCTCACACCTACACCCACACCCAAGCCTAACAATGATTCTAATAATTTATAGCTATTTAAAAAATATCGTTTGGGTCTATCATTATTAACAGTATAGAATTTACAATAACTTGAATTGTGCAGCTGTTCGTTGGGTATATCCATCATAAATAACGTGTATTCAAGGTGAGAGTTTTATAAAGAAAAAAAAGTCATAATTTTCGATCGAACACGATTATTGAATCCGAGAAAAATGAAACAATCGTGACAGTTCAACATTTTTCTTTACGACTATATTAAATGGCAGCTGAAAGCTCTTGGAGGCATTCCAAAAATCACAAAAACTAGAGTTGAATTATTGTATATTGTGCATTCGGTACAAAACAAAAATAGAATATTATCAAACGGCTAAATAAAGTAAAACAAAAGTTATCTCCACACATTTTGATTTTTCGCATAATGATACTAGTTCTAATTATCGTGAATAATAAAAAGCTCATTAGAAAGAGAACTTATTTCAAGATTACAAATCAATAGTGATATTCAACGAATTTCTACAGAGGCGAACATCTCAGCTATAAACGACATTCTAGGGAATATTAAACTTCCATAGGATTATTCTGATAGTTTAGTCTTGAAAGTTTCTCGATGAATCCCCATATCTTAAGTAGTGGTGAAACCAGGATTTTGGGCTGGGGGGGGGGGGGGGGAGGGGGGCCACAAAACTTTCTATCCTGCTGAGATTACACCTCTTTTGTTTTGACCAACATGTTCGTGATCGTTCAATTATACCAAAAACTGTCCGAAAACTGTCGCATAGCGAAAAACCGCTTCGAGCTCCTCAGAATTATTTCATTGGCCGACAATTTTTCCGTTATATTCACTCGACACTTTGCAATATTTTGCCACCAATGGCAGCCACTTTTGGAAACAATTTGAGAAAGTTTGCCTGATAAAATTTAAAACTCACTAGGAATAAAATGAGAACATAGTAATGTTTGTAATAGCAATTGAAGCAAGTTTTCCTTTTGTATTTCATCACCAAAGGTGGCAACTTTTTGGAATAATTAGATTCCAGTACGTGGCTTATTTCGCTTAAGGGAAGAGTTAAGAGCTTGCGGATATGAGGACTCAATCCTTGTCACTGAAGAGTAGTGGCGTAGCCAGAATTACACTTATTAGTGATGATAAACGGCATTGTAATGCTGGTCCTGAGAAGGTAAAATCAAATAGAAGCGATGAACTGTCATTATGAAGATGTTTCAATGATAAATCAACATGAATCGTTCTAACGATGATAATGATGGAAACAGAGCTGTTGAAATAAACCCATATTGACCCGATCCGGACCCTGTTTTCGGATTAGACCTCAGCATAGGGTTCATAATCCGAGTTGCCCGTTTTAGACGCAACCCGCAGATTCAACCAATGAAGAAGCTTTTGTGATACAAGAAAATATTTCTATTGAAAATGACACTGCTAGATGATCAATCAATAGATGTCAACAAAAATTTGCTTCATTTCGAATTTGAGGATTAGTTTCAAACAGACTGATTGTAAGAGTATAAATGAAAATAGGTGCACTTCTATTTTGACCGTCATGACGCCTTTTCTGCTCGATAGTCTTTACAATAAAGTCGTTGGCAAATATAATCATCACTATTACAAAGCATAAAAATTTGCAATACCATTATCACTATTACGAATCATTAAAAATATTATGATATCGTATGTCAATATTCGAAGAATCAAAAAGAGCCTATTTTTTTTTCTTCACACACGCATCACTATATAAAGAATGGTTCTAGCACCTTGTCAGAGAAATACTTCTTCAAAAAACATTATCGAAGAATGTTGAAGGCTACCTTGTCAGTACTGTTGTCTGCTCTGCTAGTTGTCGTTCTTATTCAAGGTAAAAGTGAAGAAATTACCGTTTCGTGTTGTTCATTATACTTACTATTGTAGAGACACAATCTTATCGATCACAGGAGGCGCACCGTCATTGTCGTGAACACGACAGTCAGGAAAACTTTTTCAGACCATCAATGGGAGACACACTTCGAGTCGATCAACGATTAGTACAAGGTGTACAACTTACCTCGGTCAACAATAAATATCAACTGGTCTTTCACCGGGATGGTAAACTCGTGCTCTTCTATTCCGACTACAACGTCCCAAAAACGGTGATCTGGTGCTCGGGTCCACCTAACGAAGGTCACTTTGCTGCACCATATTATCTAATCATGCAGACCGACGGTAATGCGGTTGTATATGATGCGTATTCCCGACCGGTCTGGGCTACTAATACAGATGTGATTGGCCTTCGACCTCATCGTTTAATCATGCAGAACGATGGCAATCTAGTAATCTATGATAGAAACGATAATCCAACATGGACCTCGAATACATCAACCTAAGTTCGATCTTGGCAGAATAATTTTATTTTAATAACGAATAAAAGACTAAAACTACTGGAATGATCATTCTCACACAAATTCAAAACGATGGATGAGAAAAGTAGCGTGCCCCTTCCTCAAAGAGTAAGGGTGGGCAAGAGCTGCCATGATGAGTTTCGACTTCACTGACATAGAGCCTCATCGGATGGTTTGAGTTCGAATACTCTCAACAAAACAGTAAACCTTTTGATCTATCAAGATCGGAACAAAATTTTTCGGACGTTTTTATTTTAAGTATTACTTCGCCATCAATATGTCTTTTGAGGCGAAATTTGTGTCAATAGTACAGTCAAGATATATTCCCTTTTCTGAAAGAAAGGATCTTACGTTCGGAAAATGTATGTTTGTTTGTCCTAACCAATAAAAAACGAGCTTTTCTATTCTTCGGATTTTTGACCATTCTGATGAAATTTTGCTATAGGTTATCGGGGCGAGAATTGCGTATCCGCGGTGAAATTTTTTATCGGACCGTTCAGTGGTCGGAAAACTGATCAATCACGAGGAA